TTTTAATCAATCTAAATAATTATTCTAAATTATAAATATTTAGCCCACCTTCCATTTCAAATATTTCAAAAATACGTAAATTATATTAAATGGGATATACTTGAAAATCTTATAATTTTAAATATATATATATATATATGAAATAATTATTATAATAAAATATTTAATTAGTTTTTATTAATTATAATTTTAACTCGAATCAATTAATTAAGATTCAACCCGAAAGTATATCTAGCTAAAAAAAAATAAGCTAAAAGAGTTATAAAAGAAAGAGAACCTCTAACCACCCAAACCTACGGCTGGTTGATTGTTTTGTTTGGACTTTCTCTGTTCAACTTCCCCTCAAGATTTTAAAAGTCGTCTATTAGGAATAATATAGATAAAAAAGATTTTAAAAGTCGTCTATTAGGAATAATATAGATAAAAATAAATAAGTGAAGGAAGAAAAGAAAACAATAGAAAAAAAAGATAGGTTTTAAAAACCCTTTCACACCTCAAATCTTTTTCCGAACTCCTGAAACAAACACCCTTAAAAAGAAAGAAGTTTATGGTTAACCCCGGATGGACTCGGTATGCTGAACTGCCAATCAATAATGTAGTTCATAGTCTGAGTCTACACTCGACTGTATGAGCAAGAACTCGAAATCATGCATATTCTCGTTCTGATGACAATAGAGAACAATATGAGGAAAAATTAGAAGGAAATGAAAACTTGGTGGTTAACCCTGGATGGACTCGGTATACCGAACTGCCAATCAATAATGCAGTTCACAGCCTGAGTCTACACTCGACTGTATGAGCAAGAACTCGGAATCATGCATATTGTCGTCGAATTAGAATGACAAAAGAGAACAATATGAGGAAAAAATTAGAAGGAAATGAAAACTTTGTGGTTAACCCCGGATGGACTCAGTATACCGAACTGCCAATCAATAATGCAGGTCACAGCATGATCCTACACTCGATTGTATGAGCAAGAACTCGAAATCATGCATATTCTCGTCGAATTAGAACGACAATAGAAAACAATATGAGGAAGGATTACAAGGAAATGAAAACTTTGTGAATGATAAGTAATTGATCCTTCATTCAAAAAGATGATAATGTTGATAGATGGAATGTATAACAACATCAGGCACACACATTGCAAACAGCCTAATAATATCAGAGCAGCAAGTCGCATGTTTCCTATCATAAAAACAAAGAATTTTTCTTCTAAAGGCAATCAATGTTGACTTCTTTTTTTTATTTCAGCCAAAGCTGAGGGCTGCACTACTAGATTCTCAGCCCGGTTCTCCCTCCATGCTTAAGACAGGATAAGATAATATCATGAAAACTCGTGAGATTTCTTGCCAACAATGATTACACACCTCTGATCCCATTGGATAGAAAGGTTGCTAATGCTTCTTAAGCGATTTCATTTTGTCCCTAAGATAGTAAAGCTTGGCCCTCCGCACTTTCTTCTTGTCCAACACCGTAATCTCTTTTATGTTTGGTGAGTATCTGTCATGCATCAACCACTAGTTTAGTCATATGCAAAGACCCATCAGAAAAACACAGGAATTGAATTTGTCAGAAGTTAGAGACTAGCAGGGAGAAACTATTCGAGTAATCGAGATATTACAAAGCTATGAGTTCGATTTCGTTTTAGTGACCAAGAACATCTAAAAAGATGAACACTACACATATGTATGTACATCTTAATCGCCAACTATCATGAGAAGACTAGCAGGGAGAAACTATTCGAGTAATCGAGATTTTAGAAAACTAAGAGTTCGATTTAGTTTTAGCGACCAAGAACATCTAAAAAGATGAAGACTACACATATGTCTGTACATCTTAATCACCGACTACCACGAGAAGTGCGTTTCTCTTCCTATGTTATCGAAATAGAATATTGTACATCGTGTAGTAATTCATTTGTATCAGAATTGTATTAGTTTCTCTCTAAATTAAAGACAATTCATAAAGGCATATGCGTGAAAGAATGGCATGAACAAAAAATAAGCATAGAACATGCTTCCTAAACACAAAGATGAACAGGGGAAAACATGGAATTGGGTAGGTAACTTAGCAGAAAATAAAATATAATTAAAAATCCGCATTACTTACAAAGGGAAGAGAGACTCAATCCCAACACCAGCAACTACCCTCCTTAATCTAAAAGTTGTGTTTAGACCAGCGTTCCGTCTGGCAATTACAATGCCTTTCAACGTTGAGACACGTCGCTTGTTCTCAGGTACTTCCTGCTCACATATGATAGGGAAAGCCAGAAAAGTGCTCAATTACCTCATCTACAACTAGTTTTAAGAATAGTAACATTATCTACGACCAGTAAAACCACGTTAGACTAAAATGAACTCTACCACTTTGAGCTGCACAATATAGCCTGGCTTTATGTCTGGAATTTCTCTCTTTGCTTTTACCTCCTCAACAGCTTCCTTGTCTAGAATCTGCGGGGAAAAGAAACAATATGTTGAAATCAAATGGATGGGGCGATGAAATAAAATTACTTATTTTCCAAAATGCTCAGAAATGTAAATACCTGCATTATGTGTTTTGAAGTTTTATCAAGCCTCTTAAATTTGATGCGAGGAGTTATATCGGTATCAATTCCCGAAGATCCTTGTGGAGCTGATTCCATTGAACTTGTTGTCGCAATGCCCCTGCTAGAAAAAGGAGCTGCAATTTCTGCCAACTGAAATAAATGTTTCTTTGGACTTTGGAATGCTGGACAAGTTGAAGATACACGCTTTACCGAAGGCAAAAATTCCATTTGAGAGCCCATATCTTTCTGCTAAATAATTGAACAAATGTTACGAAGTGATATATTCCAAAACAGATTCTTAAATAAATAGATATTGCTTCCAATGAGTACCATAATCCAACAGATACATAAGTTTCTGAAAAAAAAAAAATCTCACGAAGGTAGTCGATAAGTTCTCTGTTTTTCCTATTCATTTTTTGTAAATAAAAAACAAGTAATATTGAGAGAAAAGAGGTTCAAAAGAGGAAGATGAGAAATCTCCATAGATAACAAGGAAATTCCAGAAAGGCTATCCAATTGGCAAGGATCATAGAAGCTAAGAAACATAATCACAGTGTTTCCTTGAAAAAAAATACATCAGCTTGACACAAGCTAATTGTTCATCAGACATAGTAAATACATAATGAGTAACTGATTCTCTAAACCTTATTTGTTGTAAAGGAAAATGGAATGCATAATAACTAAAAGTCTAAGACAATAGTGAAGTCAATAGTTGTATCGATTAAGTCATTATTGAACTCAGGAGCCAATCCCAGCTGGAGTACACATACTCTAAAACTTTTTAGCAATGAGACATTTAACAGAAATCACTTGTGATCGGTATTAGAGACACTTACAGAACATACAAGATTGATATGATATCAAGCGATTTACTTGTGTATCATTGCTTATGAACTTAAACATGAATCATAAACGAATTCGAAAAAACTTGTAATTAGAACTAGCTTACACGCCGCTAATCACATAAAAAACTAAAGCAGCTTTACTGGATAGAACCTCTAAGAATAACGCAAGAACAAATCATACTACTAGACGACCATAATGTCCAACATAGTTAAAATAAACATAAATACATACGAAGGCTTCCGGATATTGATTGCCCAACTTCGAGAAAGACCTGAAGAGGGAACCATTCAAAGACTCATATGGATTCCCAAAAAGACGAAGGCTAGTAAAACTCTTTTCCATCGACATTGACGCCGAGCAGCAACAGCTAGCATCTCCATTTAGAGGGTAACCTCTAATCGACTTGAAATGAGCGTCGGGACTTTGCCGTCGTACCAATTGATTAATTCTGCGAAAATTTTGCATTCTCACGGTGGATTTCGAGCTGCATAACCCACATAAAACTCATGAGCTAGAAAACAATCTTGATAGAATTGCTACAAAAGAAGCGAGTGAGAAGGAATATGGTAGTGAAGCAGCGTGTAAGAAATGGAGCTTAAATTCATATTGCACTGATCAAAATCGCTGGAAATGCTGGAGCTGATTCCAAATCAACCGGAAAAGAAGATCCCACTCACCGATCGTACTCGGGGAGAGCTACTGAATCTCTAGCTGAGAGGAGATCTTGGAGCCTAAAGCCCTAAATCAGGAAACGCAGAGGTTTTTGGTCGAGCAGACGCTCTTGCAATGGAGATGGACCTTGAGTTTCCCGCTTTGCCTATGGGCCCAATTAGTGGGCTTTCTGCAAAACCGTTGCCTCTTCCATTATTGGGCTTTGAATTTCCTTAAAAATAAAATAAAAAATAAAAGAGTTAAATTGCGAGTCTCTTAGGTCTCTAAGCTTAAAAAATATGTTTAATAGTTAATGTATCTTTAAACTAAAATATTTTTAATAACGCGAGAACGAGACCACGTGAGATCCTACAGTGGAGGATTGTGAAGTCTCGCATCAATTGGAGAGCGGAACGAAACATTCCTTATAAGGGTGTAGAAACCTTTCTCGTGAGGACGACGTAACAAGCCAAAATGGACAATATTTGCTAGCAGTGAACTTGGGCAATTACAAATGATATCAGAGCCTGGGTGGTGTACCAGCGAGGACGCTGGGCTCCCAAGGGGTGGATGGTGAGAACTCACATCAGTTGGAGAGGGAAACGAAACATTTCTTATAAGGGTGTAGAAACCTCTCACTTGCAGAGAGGCTGACCACGATACGTATCGAGCCAAAACAAACAATATTTGCTAGTATTGGGAGTAGTGGACTTAGGCTATTACACCTCAATTAAGTGGAATTAGGCTATTGCACCCCAATTTAAGCTATTCTAGTCGCTAGTCATTGTTCTTCCACGGTCTAAATGATAGAAGACACGGAAGAGATGAATTAATCATAGTCGTTGTGGGCAACACTCCTAGTCCACAATAAGAGGACGAGCCAGCTAAAGTCTCGTGATAGAGACCTCGGTTGGAATGAAAATTTAGAAATTTATTCGACACGATCAAACTGTACTAGCAACGAACACATGAATTTCCAATGTAATACGAGTGGTACAGTCTATTTGATATCAATTATACAAACTTTTTACAGAAGCACCATTTGTAATACCAATCGCAGACTACAAACACCGCAACATAAATGAATCTTCTGTTCAAAAGTATCATAAAAAAAGACTCAAAGCTACTGTTTTACTTTACTACAATACCTAATGCACTACAAAGAAAAGTAACAGGCAAAACTCAGATCAACATCAACTGCTCAAGAAAGGGATTGAACCTTAATGATTCATAAACAAAAACCGAGATCTCTGAACGACTAAAACTCAGTCGAACCGAACCGAGCCAATCTTATCTCATTTCGACCCAAAACCGAACCATTTTGCCAGGAAGTTTTTATTCTTTCCACGAGATATGTTGGGTGTTTCTCTAGCCGGTGTTTGAATAGGTAACAAACTCGGTTTAGCTGCAAGAGAAAAATTAGACAGTTACCATGTTAATAGAATCTCTCATTAATCTAGTTTATGCTGTCACACGTACCGGATTTCGGCGAAGCCCTGCAAGTTTTGGCAGTTCCAAAATCATTAGGTTTCTTTTGTTGGTTAATTGTGTCATCATGGGGTGAGATGGATGTTCGATTCCTCTCCATAATACGCTCTACATGCCCCGCGCCATCGTTGCTACCTATAGAAAGGTTACGAAGTCATACAGCGACACGAAAAGTTGATGCAATATGTTGATGCAACTGAGAGACCATGAAAGAATAGGAAGCTGACCGTCATCAGGAGGCTTTCCATAACTTTGTTGCAAGGCATCCAAAAATGGACGCTCCTTTTGAACTCGCATCACTAAATATGAAACAAAACCAGTGGCAAGATTGATATTTCTTAACAGAGAATGGACTGGTAAACGCATAAAGAGAGGGTAAAACTAGATTGATGAAGCGTACACTGATCATAAAGTCCGTTCCTACAATTTGGTGCCGAGCCAACCGATAGCAACTGGACAGCCTCGGCATCTCTCGTCATCGATAATTGAGCTGACCCATCAAGATTTTTTGTGTCCAACAGAATTCCTGCGAGCTGGAAGACATGAGATGCATGTCAGAATTGCTTCAAACTGTGGACAAATAAGAACAAATGTTCTGTATAGTAAAAGTTACCATGAGATTCTTCAACAAAGGAGTTTGAAGCAAATGATAGGCATCCTCACAATAGTTATCAGTAAGAATGGTGCACTGAGATCCAACCTAAGAGATAAACAGTAAAGAATGCACCCCGAAATATGACAACTGCGAGCGAATGGCTTCTCGAAACATAATTTACATGTAAAATTCATTGTACACTCACCCCATCACTCATCTTAAGGACATCTTGCCCTACGACGAGGACACTAGTTCGACCAGTCACCATCAGACTTTCTAAGTCCACCTGAACCACATAACAATAACTAAAATCAGTACTCTACTCACTGTCAAAGGTTATTGTAACAGAGCAAGCCCACCACTATCGATGTGGAATCTCACAGAGAACGAAACATTCTTTACAAGGGTGTTGAAACCTTTCCCTAGCATATACATTTTAAAAACCTTGAGGGAAAGCCCAAAGAGGACAATATCTGCTAGCGCTAGTGGTAGCTTGGGCTGTTATAAATGGTATCAAAGCCAGACACTGAGCGATGTGGCAACAAGGAGGCTGAGCCCCGAAGGGGAGTGGACACGAGGCGGTGTGCCAACAAGGAACTTGGGCCTCGAAGGGGGTGGATGGTGAGATCCCACATCGATTGGGGAGGAGAACAAAGCATTCTTTATAAGGGTGTGGGAACCTCTCTCTAGTAGACACATTTTAAAAACCTTGAGAGGAAGCCCGAAAGGGGAAGCCCAAAGATGACAATATCTGCTAGCGGTGGGCTTGGAGGTACATTTGTATCATATCAATCAATGCACTCTAGATTTAATAACCTTACTCTCGTACAACGAAGTCTATGCATTACCCGGTATCGATGCTACATCTTTCTTAACATAATTAACAGATACTACTTAACGCACGAGATTCTTATAGGTCATAGTTACCATTTCATCTTATTGACAGGTCGGTTTCGAAAACAATCTATCAAGCATGGCACCAAATTACCTCATCAGTGAAAAGAATCGAGGAAGCATCAAGTCCAAGGTGATAAAAGAGCCAAGCAACCTGCCGTTGGTTCCACATATTTCCCCTCTGCATATTCATCACAGGCACCACAAGACACTCTCGGCCGCTCTCTGCATTACTCTGCTTCATCTTGTTCTCTAGTAGCCAAGCATAGCACACTGCCGCTACCATTGAACTAGTGCCTGCATTCCCAAATTGTCAAAAGCTTTTTCAATACAGAAACAAGCAAGTAACCCCATCTCTACAATTACAAGCTTCAACATCATTCTATAAAATTAGGGCACAAAACACTCGCATTATCTTCATTCTCAACAAAACTACCATCAATTCATCAAAAAAGATGCACAAATCAACATTTTAAGACTATACTCAACTGTTTGAAGGTCCGGATAGAATGATTTTAACTTCAACATCAAGCTGCCCATCCGAGATTTGCTGAATTTTGCTACGCTGCTCTTTAAGGAACCCATTAAGGCCAAACTCCAGATCTTCAGAATCGTCCCTCGAGAACTCATTTAGATTGGATTTAGGTCTAATCGATTGAATCGAACAGGCCGACGACGAGACCGTTCTTCTCGGCGGCGGATTCGTTAGGGTCTTGGGCGGAGAAAGAAGGACATCCGGCGGAGGAATCGGGAGGCGAGAAGGGGGAAGGTCGGTGTGGAACCGAGATTTGCGAGTAGTGGGAGGAGGATCGGAGAGTGTGGGATTGGAGGGTTTGAGGACGTTGGATATCCATTTTTGAACGGCGGAAGAGGGATTTATCGGCTCCTCCACGGCGGCGGAGGAGACTGAGAAGGATTCTGATTTGTTGCGGCTATGGCGAACAACTTTAGAGAGGATTTCACCGCTGAAATTGTCCACAGCTCTGTGCCTGTCGTCGCCATTGACAAACGGAATCGATGCAGTTAGCGATTAAGCTTTTATACGTTTTGTCTCGACTCCTTCCGCGAATAAATTCGTAGCCAAAAATATTTTTTAAAATTTAATGAAGTTATTTATTTTAAGTATATCAATAAACTCGCAAAAATCATTAATTAATAAAAATTATTTTTTTTATTATAATTGGAGGAACCAAAATTAACTTTTTCCATATATCTAAACATAAAATATATTTATATTTAATATATACATTTTAATTTATTATAATATATATTCTCGATTTTGAGTTGGTAATTTATTTTAATATATACATTTCAACTTTAATGTAACAATTTAAGAATTAAATTGGATTTTAATATATATATATATATATATATATATATATATATTATATAGTGGTACAAAAATAAAAATTTATTAATTTAAATTATTTTTACCACTCATTATCTTTATTTTTATTATTTAAAAATACAATTTGTGAAATATAACTCCGAATAGTTACAAGTACTTCCATAAATTACGCTAATAAACAAAACATTACAAAATTTATTTTTTATTTAATATAAAAAAAATTATCTAAACCTTAAACCCTAGATATGTTTTAAAAATTTATCCAATAAATTCATGTTTGATTATTTTCAAGAAATATAATTTATCCATTTTTATATCATTAAAATCAATTTTATTATATTTAAATTTTATAGGAATGAAAATAATATAATTAGGTATCAATTAAGATTTTTTTTTTCTTTGTCGAGAATTATATATTCAATATAAAAATAAAAATACCTCTAAATTCTATATTTTTATCTTAAAAATACCCATCCATTTTAAAAAATTTATTAGTATTTTTATTAAAAGTATTTTTTATTTTTCTAAAAAAAATTAATAAGTGTTTTTGTAGTTTTAAAAACATTTAAAAATGTTAATGAAATTTTTAAAAATTTTAAGTTATTTTTTAAAAAGTTTAAAGTATTTTTAAATAGTTTTAAAAAATTAAAAAAAAATATATATATATATTTAAAACTTTTTTAAATTTAGATTATTTTTTATACTTTAAATTCGAAATTGAATATTTGTGAACATCTTTTTTAATTTTAATGAAATTCAAAAAAAAAAAAATTATTAATTTAGCTCAAATAAAAATTAGGATTTAAAATTTTAAACGTCCCTGGTTTGGTGTGAAATACCTTCTAGCGGACCTTGAGAGTGGATCTCTCCGATCATTGATCAAAGCCGACGATCTGCCGTTGGCCGCTGCAAACCTCGGCGATCCGACGAACCGAGCCGGCGAATTAGGCCGCGAAGGAGAAGAAGCCACCAACCGCCGCGCCTCATCCAGCCACTCCTCCGTCAATAGGCTATTTCTACTTCTATTACTCCGATCAAACGAATCTTCTTGTTCTTCTTCATCTTCTTCTTCATTTTCATCACCGGTCAAATTATAGGCCTTCTTCTCCTTATTTACGCTTCCGAAGAACATATCGTTCATAAAATCAGTCAAATCGGGCGCCTGCTGCTGAGCCTTGGGCCGAGAATTTGCGAGTCTCTTTTGCACGATTATGTGCCCTAATTTCGCCATTTCTCTGGTATTCTCTCTGCTAATCCTCGATTCCATTCCTCTGAAACCTTAATTAGTTCTAATTGGAATTTGAATTTAGGGTTTGAGTGATCGTTTTTCGTTGAGCAGATTAAATTTGTAGTTGAAGTGCGGATTTGTTAATTCGAACATAGGAATTATCATTTTTTGGGGATTTTTTGCGCATAGATTAGGGCCGGCGGTTTCGATCTCTGTCTTTTCTAATGAAGAAATTTGGAACTTTGTCGTAAAGATGCGAGAGCTTCGTCTTTGTTCACAGGTGAGTTGTTATATTCAAGAATATTATCCATATTTTTGTTCTATTAGTTTTTTAAACTAATAAAATTATAATTATAATTTTATTAAACATAAATTTTAAATAAATAATTGTTTTTTCTTATAAACTTAAAAAAATATGTATATATATTAAACTTGTAATTTATTTATTTTTTTTATTTATTAAGCTTGGGAGATTTTATTAAGAATAAATTATTAAATAATTATACTTACCAGCTGTAATTTTCAAATCCATTTATGCAGGAAAATGTTGAGTTCAAATTAATTTATTAACTTTTTTATTATGAATTTTAATTATTAAAATGTATTATTTAAAAAAAAATTAAGTTTAAGCGTGCTATTCGTACAAGTTAAGAGTACTTGATACAACCATTTTCAATGCATTACGAGACAAATTTCATTATATATAGAAAATTTTCATCCAATATTTTAATGAAAAATTTTGCTACGGAACAATGCTCGCTCAATTGAGGTCAAATCTTCTGTCGAGTCATTAAGATAGATAGGTTGTCCTCTTCCTCTCGTGACACGTTGAGAGTTGCCTTTTATTAACGCGTTGAGATCGCTGTAAAATCTTCTGTCGAGTCATTAAGATAGGTAGGTTGTCCTCTTCCTCTCGTGACACGTTGAGAGTTGCCCCTTATTAACGCGATGAGAGTGCCTCTCTTTTATGTATTCAAATATAACGAAGCGTTTTTCGATAATCTTTTAATTTTTTTTATTTTAGAAAATTAAGTTTACAAAATCTAGTGTGTATATATATATATTTTTTATCAATGTTTTAAAATTTAAGGTACATAATAATAAAAATAAAAAAATAAAAAAGACAAAATATTATTTATATATATACATATATATATATATATATATAAACATAAATATAAATATACTAGAAATTAGGTGGGAAATAGAATTTATAAAAAAATACTCATAAACTTTATTATTTATTTAAAAAAATACTTATTTTACTTCCTTTTCTATAAATATTTCAAAATTATTTTTAAAATAAAATAAAAATCAACATGACGTCGACTTAAAATGATGTAATAATACTATGATATTCGTATGAATTAAGTACAAAAGAACTATATTTAAACACGTCGATTTTTCGTCCAACATTTTAAATATTTTTTATTTTAATAATAATTTCAAAATATTTACGAATAATGACAACAAATAAGAATTTTATAGTTAAATTTTGTTGATCTCAAATTCAAAAATAAAAGTTAAAATAGTTGGAGAAAATAGAATATTATATTATTTAGTTAATTTATACTAGAAAATAATTAAATACATAAAGTAAATTAGGTTTTTTTTTTTTTTTTTTTTTTTTTTTAATTCAATGTATGCGTGTTGGTTTTATTCTCTTAATTTTAGCTATCTAATTTAAAACATTATATTAATTTATAATAAATTATTTGCCCTTATGTGTATATATATATATAAAGACAACTATAAACTTATAAATAGTCAATGAGTTGACTTTTGATAAGGACTAATTTGTAAATATTAATATTCCTACTACAATTTCGTGTTAGATAAATGTATCTCTCCATATTATTTTATAATAAATTTATCGAAATTTATGTTTGACTTTACGTATTTTTACGTAATCATTTTACTTTAAAGACTTTTTTTAGTTATATAACTTTTTTAATAATCATTTAAATTTTATTTACAGTCATTATAGTTGATATTTATAAATTTTTTAGACATGTCAAAATAAAATTATTAAAAAAAATAGAACGCTAAACTGTAATTTTATCAAATTATAAGGACGAGATACTAATTTTTAAAATTACAAGGATTAAATTTTAATTTTCATTAAATGACTTGTATGGGTGTGAATAGAAATGATGTGAAACCGATTGAAGCTTACTTATGCATTGACTTTGGATGAGGATTAATATAAAAATATTTATACCGCTATATATTTTGCCTCGTGTCTCTATTATAAAATATATATCTCTCAATATCCCGAGAAATTATCTACTTTACAGTTAATCCACGTCATTTTACCCTTCGACTTCGGAAAAAGACCGTATTTTTACTGTGATCTTATCAATTACTTTTGAATTAAATTTGATGATCTGAAAAACTCGATCCATCCAACTCAACCCGTACGATTTAGGTTGGATTAAGTTGAAATAAATAATTTTTTTTTATGGATTTATGGTTAATATAAAAAAATACATTTTTGCTCGTAATACAATTATATATAATTATTTTGATTTGATTTGATTTCGTAATTATTTTTTTATTATTATTCTCCAACCATTTTTAAAAATAATTTTTAATTATTTAAAAAATTAAAACGTTGATCCAACCCAATTCACGAGCACCCATAATTATAATCTAAATATTATAAAATTATGGACTCGATAAAGATATTTATTGATAATATCTTAACGTAAAAAGATCATTCAAGACTTAAATACGTTTTCGTTAAAGTCTAATTACGAAATTTACGAAGTTATTAAATTTGATATGTCGGTATACGTATATCGACATCACCATCGATATTTTCATCTTTGTCTCAAATGACATTAGATTAATTAATTTTTAGCGATGTCATTAACATATAATTTTTAAACCATAAAATAGATTAGGAACTTGCACACGATGTGGTGGGGGAGTATGGTTGACCATGCCATGAGGCACATGAAAATTATATAATAAATGCGTGACGTTACAAAAATAGAGACCATCTTAATATCGTTGCCCTTTGCCTTTTCATAAAGCCCAACTAACCTCACCCTACTTCGAAAGAGAAACAGATCACCATCATACGAAAGTATGAATATTTTTTTTTGTTCGTAAGATTTTTTTTAATATTAAAAAATTATAAATTTAGTTCATATAATTTTTAAAATTAGAATTTGGTTTTTATAATTGCTGTCAAATTTGTGACGGGTTAGCTATGTGTAAGTGGTTTGTGACAATTATAGATACTAAATTTTAACTTTTTTTTAATTACAGAGACCATAGATGTCCACCAATAAGGGAGAGACAGAAAAATCTTCTCTGTCTACGTCCTTACCTCTTATTTCAATCTCCATTCTCGTGAAGTTATTTGTCCATTTTTAAGATCGGGATTCCTCTAAAAAATTTGTGGGGATTGAGTTCTCGGGAAATTTTTTTTCTATTATATAAAATAATAATAATAATAATTTTTATTTTTCAATATAATTTTGATTTTAAAAAATGTAAAATAACCTAAAAGAAACCCAATAATATTTATATAGTATAATGCACCATATAATTTTTTTTTTAAAATATTTATTTATTTACTAACTAAATAATGTGTATATATAAGTGGAACACGGTGAGGGGCAAAATGGGAATGAGAAATGTAATTCCGGTTTTTAGTCATGTTTAGCTAACAAAAAGAAATCTGTTACTCTTCCTTCCCTCAATTTAAACGGTGAGAATGGGGACGTCAAATGTAATTCCCTTCTCGATTAGCTAACAGAAAGAAAATCGAGATTTTCAGAGCCAAGTTCCAGGTCGGTAAAGGAATTAGGTTTTTTTTTTTTTTTTTTTTTTTTTTTTTTTTTTTTTTTTTTTTTTTTTATT